CATAAATCAGGTAGTATTGGTATCTATTTATAATCAGGTTTCATAGAGTAGCTTGTATATATTTAGTACAACAATGTATTTGGCCCTATCTTATAGATTAAAAAAAAAATGTGTGGCTTAGGGTTGAGCAGCCAAGTAGAACCTGATCAATAGGCCCATTTCCCTGTCAGCTACATGAGGCAGCTGGCAGTTCAACCCCAAATCAAACTTTATCTTCTGAGTTACTCTGTGGCATATTGTTTAACCCTAATAGCTTGTTAACCATATTAAAACTTGTGTGTAATGTGTGTAGCTAAAATTCCAAAATCCCAAGTTGTTTTGGAAAAGAATATAATTGCATGTACCTGCAGGAAAAGTAATACAGTAAGTATGTTTATGCATGATTTTAGTGTTAAAAAACATAGTAGTTGGAAGACTGTATAGTTTAATAATGTGAATGGAGTGCTTTTTCTAGGAATTTAATAATCTCTTAAATTATTTCACTGTATCAACTAACTTTATTTTTTCTTTCTTTTCAGCTAACTGCCTTCTATGAAAGCAGTCATTATTCAAGGTGATCGTATTCTTCCAGTGAGAACAAGACTGAAATATGATGGCCCAAAATTTATTAAAAAGCTATATTTTCCTGAGAGACTGATACATACACTCATACATATATGTGTTCCCCTTTTCCCTGTAATATAAAATACAAATCTGGGCTCCTTTGAAGCAACAGGTTGAACCAACAGTGATTGGTTGACAGACTAAGGATATATGCAACTCTTCCAGACTTTTCCATAAAGCGCTCTCGGCAGTCACTCACACTACAATGCACACAAGGATTGAGAAGAGTTAAAGTCTAAAGAAAACGTCTTTTCTAGCTTCAACAGAGAGGTTTCACCAGCACATTTACCAGAAGAATCTGGGAATGGATTCCACTACAGTGATATTGACTGCATCTTTAAGAAGTGACCATTATACTGTGTATATATATATAAACACACAACATATATATATATATATATAGTACTCTAATACTGCAAGGTTTTTTAAACTTCCCACTTTATTTTTTTATACACATTAATCAGATATCATTACTTACTGCAGTTGCAACTATGCACTTGTATAAAGCCATAATGTTGGAGTTTATATCACTCATTCCTGTGTACCTGATGGAAGTTGCATGTTCATGTTTAAGCAGTTACTGTAACAAGAAGTTTAAAGTTAATTATATCAGTTTCCTAATGCTTCATGATAGGCAACTTTACCCATTTTGAATGCCTTAATTTAATTTTTTTTCAAAGTCTCAGCCCTTTCTGTATTAAAAAACAGAAAAAGTGTTTACCAGCTCTTAGGATGTAAACTAGCTTTGTGGAAGAGAAATCGTGCACTATTTTTACACATAAATAGTTATATCAATGTCAGCCTATTTTGATTAACAAATGTTTTTAAAGTATTATTGGTTATAGAAACAATTATGGATGGTGTTGGAACTAATATATCCTTGATGTCTATTATTCATTCAACCCTTTTTACAGACCTCAGTATTAGTCTGTGACTACAAAATATTTTCTTTGCTTTAAATTTGCTGGCTACCCTAGATATGTTTTTATTCCTGGTAAAGACATTTGTGATTACATCTTCACACTTAAGATTCAAAAATTTTCCCAAATATAAAGAAAACTAAGACAGACTGTAGATACATTTTAAATATTTAAATATGATCCTCAGACATACAGCTGTGTGTGGCAATATTTTAGTACTGGGTTAAGAAAACTGGTAACTGGGAAGAAGTGGCCTCAAAGGCACTTAATTTGATTTTTATTTTTTAAATGCTGTCAAAGTTACAGTTTATGCAGGACCATTCGTGTTATATTCTCATGATCCCAGATAAATGTATGTTTTATACTGCAACAGTATGCAGCAATAGTAAGCATCAAGTTTTTGTTTTTTGTTTTTTGTTTTTTTAAATTATGAAGCCTTTTAACAGTCTCTCTTTATATAAATACACACAGAGTTTGGTATGGTATTTAAATACATCATCTGGCCGGGCGCGGTGGCTCACGCCTGTAATCCTAGCACTTTGGGAGGCTGAGATGGGCGGATCACCTGAGGTCAGGAGTTCAAGACCAGCCTGGCCAACATGGTGAAACTGTGTCTCTACCAATATACAAAAACTAGCTGGGCATGATGGCAGTTGCTTGTAATCCCAGCTACACGGGAGGCTGAGACAGGAGAATCGCTTGAACCCAGGAGACGGTGGTTGCAGTGAGCCAAGACTGCACCACTGCACTCCGGCCTGGGCAGCTGAGCGAGACTCTGTCTCAAAAAAAAAAAAAAGTCATCTAATATTTCAATGAAGGAAGTAGACATTTTTCACTGATTCCCTCTGACATCAGTTAGAGATGTTTAAAGAGTTAGATCCCCACAATAGATAGTATTGTGGAAACTGAAAAGTAGCCACTGGCCTACTGATAGACTGAAACTGATTTTGTTATTCTTACGTTCTCCAGTCTGCACTCTGCTGTGCTGTCTGTGCTCAGACTAGATGTGCATGCCGTTTCCCTTGCAGGTGTGTTCTGCAGCTCTGGTTTTGGGGGACAGCTCTTTTTTAAGTAAGATTAAAAAATAAAAAATATATAAAATTTATATAGAATAAATATTTCCATTCATTAGAGTTGTTAAAAGGAGACTGAATTAATATTTTATATAAAGATTTTGTTACATTATGGGAGGTTCTATCCTATTCTGAATTGGAGAGTATATATATATATATTTTTAATAAACTTTATTAAGGTGAAATAATTTCAAGTTTACACGAGTAACAAATATTTGAGTAAAAAAGGCAAAAGTTTAAATTTGGAATGCTGTATATATTAGAGAATATGAGGAATCATGGTGTGACCAACTGTATAAGGAAGATTCATATGAAGGTCTTAGGGGAAAAATAATTCTGAAGGGTGAAAAAAAAAAATCTCTCCCATGGAGATTCTTCACATTATATGGTTTGACATAAGGGTTTATAAGGTTGTTTGTCCAACTAATGAAAATGCGCTTAATAAAAAATTCTGGCCTTGGGTGAGAATTCGCTTTTTACCGCATTGCCGCTTTCACGTACATACATGAGTGCATGCATCTATAAACGTGTTTTCTTTCCAACACTTATTAAATATGAAACAACCTGATTTTGTGCTCGTTTCTCTTTTTTCTTGAGGCCCTAAAGCTTCCAAGATAAATATTTATAAGATTAAAAGTTGCTTGTTCCTTCACACCTGATTTCTCCTAGAGCTATAAATACCTCCTATGGGGAACTAAGAAATCATGAATACTGGGATTTTCTTATTGGATTTTTTACTTTTGTTTTGTGGGGATAACGAGACAGAAGTGAAAGGAAAACTGGTGCCGATATTGCTGTTTAAATTAATGTATAGTGAATGTTTTTAAAGTATTAATTTTAAAAAACCATGTTCTCTAGAAACAAATTTTAAAAATCTATATGAAAGTTTTAAAATGTTCTAGCTAACTAATGGATAAGCATACCAGTAAAGCCAAAATAAAGGTTAGTGCTTTTAAAACTAACCTGTGTTAGAGTTACATGAATCCGGCTCTAAAGTATGTATTTTGCATCCATTTATCTATAGATCCTAAACAGAAATACTCTAGGTTGCTACACTACAGTTTTAAGAAGTTATGCTGCGGCTGTTACTCTCTTCTAGGATTCTGGTGGTAAAGTAGAGAAACTCGGACACTGTATTAACCTTATTGAAACATGCTTTAAATCGTGTCTAAAATCTGATTGGAGCAAGTCACTGCCGAGCTTCTCAGTGTGCATTGACACTGCTACTGACTCACCTCTCCTTCCCTGGAATAAGGCTTCAGCTTCCCTATGTTGTGAAGACACCATTTGTAAGCACTTTGAACATAAGCACTGTGTGACAGCGCTGGATATCATGCTTGGGGGGACCTCTCCCTGACTCCCATCCCCGTAATAATGAGTTTTGTTTGAAATTGTAGTAAGTAATGAACTGCATGGTTTAGAAAATCATAAATATTTGATCAGCTGTCCCCTCTGAACAAAAATTGCACCCCTTTTTTAAAGTTTTGTTGCATCTTTGTAGTAATGTAATTGTATTTCATGCCTGCTTTTTATAAAAAAAAAATAAAATAAATGGAGACATAAGCATTTTCATACTTCTCCTGTGAAATAGTCCTAGAATACGGCAACTTTCTAAAGTTTACCCAAAACATTTGCTGTCTCTATAAGATGGGTATAAACAGTGGGATGAGGATAGTAAATAAGTCTTATAACTAAGGCTGTAGACTTGTGATTCTTCTGCCCTATGATTTAATTCATGGAGGAATACCAAATCTCAACCAGGAGCCTATCTCTGATTTGATTTGGGTGTTTTAAGATGCACACAAATATAACAAACTCATTTGAATTGGTGAGGATAAGGAAAAGAGGCAGGATGTCTGTTTTGTCAGGAAATAGTGTGCTGAGAAAGTGTTTTCTAGGGCAGTTATTTGCTATATGATCTTGGGCAGGTTATTCACTCTGAGCCTCAGTGTTTTCATCTGTAAAATGGAGATTGTGTCTACTTTACAGGATCACTGCCAGATTAAGTATGATAATGTGTGTAGAATGTCTGAAATGGCTTCAGTGTTTGTTGCCTGACAAAGGGGGAAAAACAGAGACCTCGTCACCTAAGTTAAGTATGCTTTTAAAGGAGTTGCTTTAAGCAATGATAAAGTACTAATGCTATCTAAATAAAACATTTGTTGGAATAAAAATCATGTAATTTGTATTGATGATAATGGTCAGATTATAATAGCAAATGAAAAAAGATTAACTTGGATGTTTAAAAATATGATATCTGTAATTTTAACAACTACAGAATGAATAATTGTTTTTAGATACCATGTTCCTCTTCCTGTTGGTCCCAAGCAGTAGTTCTAAAAGGATTAACTAGTTTATTTAAAAACTATACCTTACATAAAATAGTCATATTAATGATTGACAATTTTAAGACTCAGCAGAATTCAAAATATGAAAATTTATTTTGCATAGGAAACAATCTCTCTGGTAAACATCATTACTGCATATAACAAAACAATGCCTTCAATTAAAGGGGGAAAGTGAGTTTTTAAACATTAGGGTTAATTTAGAAGAAAATACAGTATATAATAATCTTAACATCATATTTAGGGTAAAAATACTATAATGTGAAAAAAATCCCTAAGAACTGGACAGAACCTACCTAACACCCTTTACTGTTTTGTTTTCAGTAGACAAAACGTATTTTGTACCAGATTCCAGCAGTGGTAATTATATAGTTGTGGCCCTTTAAACAATGGCAGCATTGTCCTTGAAGCAGAAAGCTTACTGGGATTTCCTCATCGAAAGAAGAGATTGCAGCTAATCCTAGTACCTTTTGTTAGGAATTACTTAAGGCACAGTGCGAACTTGAAGGACTATTTTGATACAAACTCAAGCCAGTTACATGTGTGCTTGCCTTGGTATCCTTGCTAGAGCACGTGCAGGCGTAATACTGTATTATATAAAACAAGGCCACCCTGTTGTATCTATGTTACAATTAAACATCAGTCCCAGAAAGTGAACCCTAGTCATTATAGGTGTCCACCTCTGACTTGGAACAAAATGCCACTCCGTTCATGTTCATTTTTGTCATGGAGAGGATTTATTTCCTAAAAGATTCTGAAAGCCAACAAATCGATGTAGTTCTTCATATAGAACTTAAGAGTAAGGGTCAAAATGGCCTCAAAATGGGCTTCGTGGATGACTTCCAACAGTCACGGGCCTTCTCTGCACTGCAGATGTCTGAGCGCTACCGTAACCTAACGAAGGAGGGAAATTGGTATTTTCAAACAAGTGTTTAAGTGGCTCTTTAAGTCTAAAGAAGCCTTTGGCTTCAAAGATTATAAACTGATTTACTAAATGTATAAAATTTATGAAATTTACTAAATTTATTAATTTAGCAAAGAGCTTCTTTTTCCTTTGGTTCAGTTACTCAGAATCCACTGTGTGAAGGAATAATGTATCCATCATTCAGCCTTTATAGCTGTCTTCCGGTAGCGAAGTACTGTCACGGTTACCCATATATTTAAAGCCAGCATGATCACAAAACGTGTAAGAACTGGAAAAGAAAAAAAAAGGTGTATTAAAAACCGTCTTCACAATATAGAGCAAAACCACCTCCTGCTCAAAGTGTAAGCCTAAATAAAGCTTCACCCCCAACCACCAAAATGAACAATTTTGGTTCCAGGTATTTCTGGGGAAATGATCTTCCTATCATAATAACTACTTTCGGCCCCTTGGCCCGAATTCATAAATAGTAATTTAGCATCTTTTTTTTTTTTTTTTTGAGACGGAGTCTTGCTTTGTCGCCCAAACTGGAGTGCAGTGGCCGGATCTCAGCTCACTGCAAGCTCCGCCTTTCGGGTTTACGCCGTTCTCCTGCCTCAGCCTCCCAAGTAGCTGGGACTACAGGCGCCCGCCACCTCGCCCAACTAGTTTTTTGTATTTTTTAGTAGAGACGGGGTTTCACCGGGTTAGCCAGGATGGTCTCGATCTCCTGACCTTGTGATCCGCCCGTCTCGGCCTCCCAAAGTGCTGGGATTACAGGCTTGAGGCACCGCGCCCGGCCGTAATTTATCATCTTAAGTGCTCAATTGATAGTAATGTGGCTCTGGCTAAGAAGGGTTGTAACTTTTTTTTTCTTTTTTTTTTGGAGACAGTCTCGCTCTGTCACCCAGGCTGGGGTTCAGTGGCCTGTCTCGGCTCACTGCAACCTCCACCTTCTGGGTTCAAGTGATTCTCCAGCCTCAGTCCTCAGGAAGCTGGGATGACAAGCGCCCGCCACCACGTCTGGCTATTTTTTGTATTTTTAGTAGAGATGGGGTCTCACCATGTTGGCCAGGTTGGTCTCAAACTCCTGACCTCAAGTGATCTGCCCACCTTGGCCTCCCAAAGTGCTGGGATTACAGGCATGAGCCACCACACCTGGCCTAAGAAGGGTTATAACTTTTAAATCCCTTTATAATCCCTTTATTCATCTGAAGTCCTGAGGGTGCTGCTGTGTCAGAACATTCCATGTTAAGCAAGGGTGGTTTAACATATTCTGTTAAGATCATCCTGAAAAACTGGCCCACATAACAAGGCATGTTTTATATTCAAGTAAGCATGAAAATGTGTCTCTTTATGGAAAAATAAAAATACATATACATAACTTTAACAGTGACTTCACTTCTATTGTAAGGTACAGATAAAACTCCTGATAAATAGGTTTAATGAGATTTAAGATATCTTTGTGTTTGTAAAACACATGTAAGATTTTAGCTACACTGTTTTTAAAAAGTTATTCCCAGTCTGGGCGCGGTGCGCACGCCTGTAAACCCAGCACTTTGGGAGACGGAGGCGGGTGGATCACCTTAGGTCAGGAGTTCGAGACCAGCCTGGCCAACATGGTGAAACCCCGTCTCTACTAGAAATACAAAAATTAGCCAGGCATAGTAGCGCATGCCTGTAATCCCAGCTACTCTGGCAGGAGAACTGCTTGAACGTGGGAGGCAGAGGTTGCAGTGAGCCAAGATCACGCCACTGCACTCCAGCCTGGGTGACAGAGTGAGAATCCATCTCAAAACAAAAAAAGTTATTCCCAGATACACTGATCACTTTCAAGAATAGCTGTCATAGATAAGAAATAAGTCACAATTAGAACAATCTTGATCTTTTAAACTTAATTTCTAATGTATAGGTTTTGTTGTTTACTTGTGGTTTGACTCTCCATGCTGAGAATTCAAGTCCTGTGGAAAGCCCCAAGCCTGTCTTCCTTCTCATTTCCCACTTGATCAAAGTTTATGCTTTGACCAGAACAGTTTTAGTCCTACCATCAGAACTGACAAAAAGTATTCGAGCAAAGGTATAACCTCCAGGAAGAGACTAACAAACATATCTCTGTTCTGAAGCACTATTTCTCAAATAATAATTAGCTCATTTAAAAGGGCTCCATGCTGGGGACATTGTCTGATCTTCACAGGTGACACCCATCTGTTCTAATCATTTTCCAAAGATGTATAATATATGCTTGATTTGGGAGTTGAAAACAGCCTAAGGAATTACTAAATTATTTTGTGGTTAACCAAAGTACTTCCTCTTCCATGACAGCTTTTTCTTTTAAAGAAACAGAACAAGAACATAGTCCATTGGTGACACCATTTCCCTGCTTCAAAGCCTCCAGAGGCTTCCTACTGTTTGTGGGCAGTTCTTGTAGGCCCTGGATACTTGGGCCACTGCCAGCCTCGCGCCCTTCCTCTCCTGAAACTCACCCGCTTGTCACTGTCCCCCTGCTCTCCGCACTCTAGCCCTTTGTTCTTCACTCATGACCTTCACATGCTGCTCCTTGTTAGGAGTCTGGCCTCCCCCAGCACCCTTTCCTCTGGCTAAACCTCTACTCTTCCTCACGATCGCTCTTCTTCAAATTAATCTGCCCAGCTCCTGCAAACTAGGCCAGGTTCTCCTTAGATGCCCATCCTGCCCTACTCTTTCAAACCATGTCCCATTAGAATTCAATAGGGAATTGTGTGGTTACCTCATGTCCAATTCCACTGCTTAAGTGGAAGTTCCATGGAGATAGGAATCTATAATCTTGTGCATATTCTATCCCCTGGACTATAAGAAGGAGAGGCTTAATAATAAAAATGGTTACCAAGAAGAGTAGGAATACATTGTTGCCATCTTCTAAATCTGTAATCCAATAGAGCCAAGTCCATCCATTAAGCCCTAAGACAGTTTACAAATGAAGGAGGCACAAATAGCACAAAACTCAAAAAGGAAGTGAGAATATATTTTGCTTACTTGTAAAATCATTGGTGGTCATTAAGGTTGTGATGATTCTTGCTGTAAAAGAAAACTTGCATCAATAAGTAACTTGCCTCTCAGACATTTTGGGGTTTAGCTAATAATGTCTTTCCCTTTTAATATCCCAATATATATTAACCATTATTTCTTATTTTTATTTTTTTTACCTATATATATTAACTATTCTTGATAGAGTTTGGTAGTACAGAAAACCAAATAGTGCTGTGTTTCGTAATTACATAAAAACTAGCCATGCCAGATCACCTGAGGTCAGGAGTTCGAGACCAGCCGGGCCAACATGGCAAAACGCTGTCTCTACTAAAAATACAAAAATTAGCCAGGTGTAGTGACGGGCGCCTGTAATCCCAGCTACTCAGGAGGCTGAGGCAGGAGAATCACTTGAACCTGGGAGAAGAAGGTTGCAGTGAGCTGAGATCACACCAATACACTCCAGCCAGGGCGACAGAGCCAGACTCCATCTCAAAAACAAAAACAAAACAAAAACCAGCCATGCATCCTACCCCAATGGTTTTGAAACTACTCATAAGGGAGGGTACCTAGAAGGTACTCAAGCGCTGCCCGCAGAAACTCGGAAAGACCGCGCTCCCTTCCGCTGTCTTCTGTGCTAACCCGCAACCCCCGACCCTCCAAAAGCAACTCTTAATAATTCTCAGTTACAAATTGAGCCTCTGGGTAGTTTTATTTAAAGAAAGGCTCCCACTAATTAAAAACAATGTTTTGGCCAGGCGCAGTGGCTCGCGCCTGTAATCCCAGCACTTTGGGAGGCTGAGGCAGGTGGATCATGAGGTCAGGAGTTCGAGACCAGCCTGGCCAACATGGTGAAACCCCTGTCTCCACTAAAAATACAAAAATTAGCCGGGTGTGGTGGCTGGCGCCTGTAATCCCAGCTACTTGGGAGGCTGAGGCAGGAGAACTTTTCTGTCTGTACACTTTTAGCTCATAAAGCTATAGTAGAAACCTGCAAGTTATACTCATTATATTTCTCTTTTTTTTTGAGCTCTTGCTAGCAGCACTGCATTCTCAAAAAAAGCTACATGCAGGCTTTCATAGCATTCTTCATTTGAAGTATCGGGGTGTGTGTGTTGGTGTGTGTGTGGTGTGTGAACTGCGCACTGGAATAGATTATTTTTTAAAAGAATTTCTAAGAAAGCTCAAACCAATAAAGAGAACATTTATATATACTAGCGTTGTCACGTTTTCCTTTTCTCTGTTTCAAACAATGCATAAAAACAGACATAAACATAAAAGATACAAAAATCAGACTTCTCACCTACTTCTGTTTTATTTCCACATTTTTTAGTTCACTTGGTGCAATACTCTTTCTTCATCTTTCATTTCGATGACATGTCTCTGAGACACGCTTGAGCGCTGTCTTCTTTCTTGATAATAGAAGAACTTTTATTTCTGTTTCCTGACCACTTTTAATGGTCCAACGGCAGACAGCCAACTATGATATGCGGTTGTCAACGCCTTTATCGCATTACGCCGAATTCATTTCAGCCCAATACTTACTCAAAGTCTTGGTCCGGCCTCAACTAATGTGATGACTGTAACTCGCAAAATAATTTTATGTGAGTGAGCAAAGCGGACTCGACACTTCTGCATTTTGTGAAATATGAAAGCTAGCTGTGACATACACCAGATGTCATACGAGGCTGAGAGCGGGCCTTTCTACCTGTGTTGGCGAATGCATAGAAAATACCAGGATGTAATATTTTGAGATTAATAATACTTTCTGTTATGTTCAAACTTCCACCGTTGCGAATTTAGGCCGGTTTGTCAAAAATTATTAATGTTTAGCCATGTAGCTTGGAACTCCAGCATAGAAAACACGTGCAAACGTTAACAAAGGGAGCGTAGCAAGGATATCCAATCACGGCACATACACACACGTACACTTTATGATTTTATAATCGCACTGTCCATTTCATATTTCCTTGCGGCTTGCCTCGTAAGTTTAAAATGCATGATTAATCAACAGCTTTTCTGTGGGTGTTGTGCAGCCTTGCCTTTATCATGTGTCCAACAAAATTTTATAGATTTGGCCTCTGCCTTTCGGGCTTCGCGCAGTAGTTACGAAGATAAGACCAAAAAAGCTACTACTTCAGTCTTGCTACATGCAGAATGGGTTAGCAGACCGAGGAGGCTTTTGATGGGTCTGTATTGGGCTAAGGAAAGGCATGCCTTGAGCTGCAGCGCAGTGGTTCTCTCTACACTCCCAAGTCATGCTGCCTTCTGCTCTCGCTGTGCCGGTTAAACTGGTTCCTTCCGTTTCCCTAATCGTTACTAACAAGTAAAGGCTATACGTCCCACACAAATGACCCTCCGTACGTTAACACCCTGCTTCGCGAAAAAACTCTTCCCCTTTCCCTGGGCTCAGCTCTCCTTAGTCTAGTCAAAAACGCAAGAATAGAAATCAGTGCTTTGAAACCTTCTATTGGTTTATTTTTTGAGCGATGGAGTTTCGCTCTTCCCTTAGCGCTGGAGCTGTGGCTGGCGCAATCGTCAGCTCACTGTAACCCCTCCGCCTTTCCCAGTCTTTCAAGC